ATCTGAATCACTAAAGAAACGCAATTGGATCCCAAGATCCAGATTGTAATTACAGGAGAAGGAAGATGCTCAAATCCTTGTATCATTGCTTTGTAATGGTATACAGCACATTCTGGATCCAGCAAAGACCTCCCCCAGCAAAAATTGAGGCAGAAGATCCCAATTCAAAATAAATTCATGAGCAAGTGGGAATCCTTTCGGATGAAATTGACAAATTACATTAACAGGCCCAAGCATTCAAGACTATAGAATCCTAGCAATACGCTGAGGAAAAAGGCCCATAAAACCCATCAATGACATGAGGGATACAAAGCCATATATCTTCCTCTCGTCCATGGTTACCATTAAAAGCACTGAAATAGTTCCAGATTTACCAGCCACTTCCTTTCACAGACATCAATCAATTAATGATGTGAGAATCTAATTCTTTTTTCATCCCATGTCTTGGTCATCTTTTATCTGTTCATTTTTTAATTAAAGGTTCTTTTAATGCTAATTAGGAAATTTCCATCTTATTAACACTCTTAAAAAGTATTTTACTCACAAAGTTCAAATAATCAAACATAGTCATTATGACATCTTTCTTTGAACTCTTTTGACCTCTGACTTGATACTTTGAGACCTCATTGGCTCAAAAGAGCAATGTAAAATGCGGAATGAAATTCTTATATTATCTGCATTTATAAGTGTAACAAATGGAGCTCATTTCTTGTATAACAGTTAGATTCTCTGAATGCAACCTCAATCCATTGAAGCTTGCTCAACCCTTAGTTCTCCTATTTTACAAGTAAAACTAGTTAGATTCTCTGAATGCAACCTCAATCCATTGAAGCTTGCTCAAATTCTAACCAAGGACCCTTAGTTCTCCTATTTTACAAGTAAAACTAGACTCTATAAGTAAACTTTTAAAATAACACTTTAAGAAATTACTACGTCCAATTTTTTCATTTCTGCCATCAAACAAAATAAATAAGAAATAAGTACATTTCAGAAGGACATTTCTCACCTTACATGGAAATTGTTCTTTAATGACAAACACCTGTTTTTTCTCCCAACCAATTGAAGTGTGGTTATGTATCGCTTTAACGTCAACCCCTTGCTCCATGATGAAGATTTAGAAGGAAATGCTACATGAGTACCCTGAATGCCAAAAGCATTATCCATAATCATTTAATATACAAAAGAAACACTAGATCTGAAGTAAAGGTGTTAAACTTTTTGCCTCAATTCTGCCCCCCTTTATCTTTTTTATTGCCTTAGGTGAGCTTTCTTTAAATAATATCTTTTTAAGGAAAAAAAGATAAGGAGTATCCTTTTGGAACTCTTTTTGGAAAGTCTTGAGCTTCAAAAATAACAGTTTTGGTGTTAAGTGATTGTGAGTGCAGTTTGCAAAAGATTTTCAGTAGAAAACACAAACTCATTGAAACAAGCAGGACCTCAAACATTTCATAATTAATCTATCGCCACATAAATCATTATGAGAGTTAATCCATAGACACAAATTTAAATGTCAGGCCCAAAAACTAAACCAAGGGCTTGGTATAAAGAGCAGAAACACCAGCATGGGTAAAGAACAAGAACCATACTTGGTCCTCTTTTTTCGTTTGAGAGAAGAGCAAAATTCTTAATTAGAGGGGCATGGTTTGGAATGTATTAACGATCTTCAATTTATTTGATTTCCTTATATTCTATGATGAAAAAGTGTGGCTGAACAAACAAAATGGACAGTGACGACATTAGATATACTGGAACATGTTCACTGAGTAAAGTTTAACCTTCTGCATTCCAATTCTGCTAGCAATAAAGAAATGATATTGAGTACAAGCAAATAAAATCAGACTTAAATTATGGGTAAAAATCAACATCACCACTGAGCATGTTTCTGGGTAAAATTAGTGTTGCTGTCAAAGGCAACCTGCCTGGACTACTTTTATCCCAAGCAAGGACTCTTAACGTAATAGTATAATGCTCAATTCAATTGTATGAGCCTATTTCCAGATTTTTCTTTTTTTATAGAAAGCCATTTCCGAATTATTCTTATCATGTGAAAGCTTCCTCTTGAAGTTCATACGTGTCAATCCGGGATAAATGCATAAACAGCAAGTTTTACAGGCACGATTTTTCCCACAACATAATTCCAGATGCACGGTAGATTACTAGAAGTCAAAGTTTCCTTGAATTACCTGCAACTGATGGGTTACCAACACCATTTTCCTCGGCTAAGCACCCAATCATCTACTTGAAACGGCCTAATTTTAACCAAAATAAAAAGCAATAAAGAAATATTTCTGTTTTAGCTTATGAAAAATATCAGAAAACTCACACTTCAACATAAATTACATGAAAACAAGAAGAGAACTTGTATTATCACAATAATGCTCAAGCTAACAACATACAAACTAATTAATTATGTATATCAACTAAAACCCAACAAGGGTTTGAGCAATAGCGTCAGGAAAAGAACGGCCCCGATCTTGCTATGTTCCTAGTGAAGGCAAACCATACTAGCAAAGAAAAAATGAAAAGGAAAAGAAATGAACGTTCACTCTCTTCCTAGGAAAACAAGAAGATTAACCTAACTACACCTAACATAAGAAGGCACAACATAAACTTTAATTACCCAAACAAACTTAAACGCTAGAAATTTTTTTGACTTTCTAAGCAGTACAAAATCTAACATTCATTTGCAGCCTCCTGCTCTCCACGTCTCTTCTCGGAGACCAAACCGAGAACTAGGCTAAAAATAAAGCCAACCCCATCCTCATTTACTTCCTCAATCAATTTAACCGAACTGAAATAACAGAGACGCATGGAGACCATATTATTTCTCTTTCCTAACCCAAATTATGAACAGCAAAAAAAAATTATACACTAATCATAATCACAGGGGACGCAGCAAACCCTAAGAAATCAAAACAAGAAAAAGTTTAAACATAAAAAAGAAAAAAAAGAAAGAAAAAGAGAAGGTAAATAAAGGAGATAAACCTCAATCATTTGGCGTCGTTCAAATTGTCGGAAGATGCAAAAGAATGGCGAGTGATGATGAAGAGTTGTAAGTAATTCTGGTTTGTTGAATCGAATTGGGTTTGAGGAAGAAGAGAAAGGGATAGAAAGGGAGGGATTGGAAAAAGAAAACAGTTGGGCTTTGAGTGGTGAGATTTTTAGGGGCTTCGAGTCTCCCCCTTTCTTTCTTTATTCTTTTTTATGGTTTTAACACCAACCTGACTCTTCCACCGGCGAAGAAGAGCTTTGAAGCGGTTTAAAAATTTTCTACCACGCAATACATGCATATATATACATACACACACACACACACACACACACACACACACACACACACACACACTTTGCTTATTGAGTATGCAGAATTATTTCTTTATTATTTATATATGATTTTTTATTTTTGCATTTGATGAAGTAAAAATGGTATTTATGAATTTTCAAAAAAATAAATTTAAGAAGATAAAACATAATTATCTCATTTATAGTTTCTTAGATTTTTATATTTTATGTAATTAGTTTATTTAATTATGCTTTTGATATCATTTTTAAATTGAGAAAATATGTAATAATTTAGTCATTTATTTTACTAATTCTTTTATACCTTTTTATTATTTTAATATCTAAACATACTATTAATTTATTTATTTTGAGATTAATTCTTATATAAATATTTAAAAAAAAAAAACTTAAAATTGAGTATAAAAAGTCACATTCTTCATAAATTAAAAAATAAAAATAATAGTGAAACTATAGAGTTGAATTCCAGAAAAAAAAAAAAAAAAAAAAGCCATGCAACAATTGAATAAATTGCAATTTTTTAAGTAAAAATATTTTATCAACATTAAATCTTATATCATTCTCTATTAATTATTTTAATGGATTGTTGAGTTGAAAATTAAAAAAAAAAAATACAGAGAGAGAGAATGTATATGTATGATGGAATTCTTTTAGAATAAACTAGAGAATAATTAGTATGATTTATTGTTTAAGATAAATTATAGTCCGTTTTGGAATAGGGAAAAACTCATTTTGGGATAGGCTTATTATTTAAATGTTTTTACCAATTATCTTCTCCAATATTTACCATGGGTAACAAAAATGATATATTAAAAGTGCATCTTTCTCAATCTCTTTATATTAAAAAAAAATTTTCTCAAAATTGCATCGCTCACACAGAATATAAAATAAACTATTTTACAATATTATGAATCTAATTCATGTACTTTTTTAATGGACAATGAACTCAATTGACCAAAAAACAAAT